ATTTTGTTGGTGGTTCCTTTGTTAGTTTCCCCTTGGGTTTTGGTTTTGGTATGGAGGAGGGTTTTGGTAATGTGAGTTGGAATTGTATGGTTGTTGAGCTTGTTGGTTCCATTGTTGGGGTTGGTTTGCAAATCCGGGTGGTGGTTGTCTCCAAGCTACTCCAATGCCATTTCCCCTATATCCATATTGCCTTGTATTGTATGCTGCTACATGCTCCAGGCTCAAACCTTCACAACAAGATGTATCATGGTTTGTGCCACCACAATTTTGACAAGAGAAAAAGTTGACTTGGGATGAGCTTGCACCACTATTGACATTGGTGTTTAACTTTGCAAGCCCTTTTGTTAAATGCTCAATTTGATGTTGCAATTGATCGACCTTTTCCAACTCATACTTTCCACCCTTCTTCGGTGGATTCCTCCTTCTACCGCCCCAAGAGTAGTTCTTCACTACCTCTTCGATTGTTGCTTCAACTTGGTTTTGAGGGATTTTGATCAATTGTCCACCCGCCCCCGCATCCAAGTTAGCTCTAAACATAGGTTCCAAACCATCATAGAAGAACCTCATGAGCAAGCTTTGATTGTATTCATAATGGGGACATGCTTGCACTAACTCTTTGAACCTTTCCCAAGCTTCACTAAGGCTTTCATCCGCCTCTTGTTCAAATGATGCAATCTTCCTCCTCATCTCGGCGGTCTTTTCTTCAGAAATGAACCTTTTCAAGAATGCTTGGACAATCTCCCTCCATGTTGTGAGAGAATTAGGCTTGACTTGCTTGAGCCACTTCTTTGCTCTTCCCGCAAGAGATTGTCGGAATAGATGCATCCGGATGTATTCTTGAGAAACTTGATTGGTTTGTATCATGGCACAAATCTCGAGGAACCTATCAAGGTGCTCATAAGATCTTCACTTGGGGAACCCGAAAATTGCTCCGCTTGGACCATTCTTGTGTATTGTGGATGGATGGTAAAGTTGGTCTCCGTGATGGGTAGCAATATCCCACCGGTGAGCTCATAATCCTCCGGAGTACCAAACTCACGAAATAAAATATCATTCTCTTTCCTCGCCATTTTCTCGCTTTGGGAGTGTGAGGACCAAGAATCACTCTCACTATCAAAAATAGCACCAAGACCTCGCCCCTGTTCTTGATAAAGTCTACGAACTTGTCTCAAGGTGCGGTCAATCTCGTGATCAATGCTGTGAGTAGGAGGTCCCTGAGATCTTCTTTGCATCCACCAAAGCTAAGCAAACTATAAGCAATGACTAGCAAGTGGAAAAAGAACAAAGTAAAGAGCAACAAATCCAATAATGGCGCAAATTAAGAGTGCAAAACAAGTCGTTTCCCCGGCAACGGCGCCAAAAATTTGATCGAATGGACAATAGGTCGTTGGTCTACTATCCTAGATCAAATTTACAACTTTTATCTCCTAACTCAACTCTATCAATTTTACTTAAGATAGTGGCAAGTTAGGGTCGATTCCCAAGGAAACGGGGGTTGAGCACAATCAATACGATATCTAGGACAAGTTGCTAGTGACAAGAAAAAGGGGTATTATGGGTTGATGTTGAAGATTTCTAAGAACAGTCTAATTACCAAAAACGAGACCAAGTTAAACTAAAGAAGAAGGGATTGAACTAGGCACTCTAAATGAAAACAAAGGACAAGATTATAGCAATATCAATGGCAAAAAGCACTAAGGAGAGGGGGTTCCAATCATGACCAACAAGATACTAATGAAAATCAATAAGGAAATGCACCAAGGAGTTCAAAATCTACTCAAAGCAATTCATTCTGATGCAACTACTCAAAGCAAGTTGATGAAATAAATCAACCCTAAACTAGATCATTCTCATGCATCTAATCTAGGACTAAAACATTGGGGTTATAGGTGCACACAATAACTCCAAGCATATTAAGCACAAATCATCAACTCATGGTAGATTCCAATCAATAATCAATAGGAACTCAAATAAACATGATTTTCACCCCTTCCCTAGCTAAAAATCTAAGCTAGAGAAAGGAAAATAGCCATGACAACCAATCTAAACAAGTATTCAATCCTAATGCAACCTAGCATGATTCTAAGTCAAAGATAAATCAAAGAAACTAATAAAGCATGAATATTTATGAGGAAAACATGAGTAAAAACAATAAAACTAAGTATTAGGGAAATAAGAGAAAAGATTACTATTATAAAAGTTGAAGTATTACCCAATCATTAAAGTTGTTGCAATAATCTAGAGGAAAGCTTGAATATTTGATTACAAAGATTGAATCTTGAAGACTAAAGTTTTCTCTCTCTAAAAGACATGGATTTTCTCTCTCTATAAATGTTTTTCATGCCAATGGAATAGTGAATGTATGAAAACCTCAAGCTAAAGACTATTTATAGTCTTCTACTATAATGAGGAAAATGGGCAAGGGAGAGGGCTCTCCAAACAGGCTGCCACGCCCTCTCCAAACTGGGTAATAAGTTCGCCAAACCCAGATAGCCGTGCCCGCGGGGGTAGATGTCGCGCCCGCGGGTCTTCTCTGCCGCGCCCGCGAACAATAACGCCGCGCCCGCGGCCCGCCATCTCCAGAAACTCGTGCTTGCTCAGGACATCCTTGTCCGCGCCCGCGGCCTTGCATATCAGCGCGCCCTCTCCCTTTTGGCATCTCTACTTCTTTGGCAAGCTTCCTTAGCATCTCCACATCTAGCAATCCATAATTCTCCCACGAGTGCTAGGAGCTATCAAAACACACAAATAAAAGGTAAAAAGCGGAAGAAAAGATAAAAGTGAAGGGAAAACACGAGAGGGAGCTAAAGTAACTAAAATAGAATAAAAAGTGCTAAGAAGAGGCATAAACAAGTGGCAAACCGAGGGAATTCTCTAATGCAAGAGGGTGAAACGGTGGCATAAATGCCACTCATCAAAATGTCATTCTCAAATTTACATATATGCATTTGTCACTACCATTTATCTGAAACCCATGTGAGATGACCAAGTTATCAAACTTTTCATGCCATTGTTTAGGTGCTTATTTGAGACCATAAAGAGACTTATCTAATTTACATAACAGATGCTCTTTTCTTGAGATGACAAAGCCCTCCGGTTGGTCCATGTAAATTTCTTCTTCCAATTCCCCGTTCAAGAATGCAGTCTTTACATCCATCTGATGCACTACAAGATTATAAACAGAAGCAAGAGACATTAGCACTCTAATAGATGTTACTCTAGTTACAGGTGAATAGGTATCAAAGAACTCAACATTCTCTCTTTGTTTGTAGCCTTTAGCTACCAAACAAGCTTTATACTTATCAACGGTGCCATCAACTTTCAGCTTTCTTTTTAGGACTCGTTTGCAGCCAATTGTCTTGCAACCTGGTGGCAACTCAGTTAAGTGCCAAGTTCGATTAGACTCAAGTGAGTCCATTTCGTCATTTACGGCTTCTTGCCATAAGTCTGCATCAACTGAGGCTAGGGCTTCTTGGAGGGTAGATGGATCCTCCTCTACATTAAGAACTTCAAAGTCCGGGCCAAAGTCTTTTGCTACTCTAGCTTGTTTGCTCCTTCTTAGTTCGGGTTCAGCATCCAATTCCTGTGAGTTAGACTTGACTTCAGGAATAATAGAGGAGGACGAACCCCCACTATTTCTAGATTTAAAAGGAAACATGTGCTCATAAAAATCAGCATCATTAGATTCATTAATTACACGCACATTTAAATCAAAGAATCTATATGCTTTACTATTAATAGCATTACCAATGAATACACATTCATAAGCTCTACTAGCTAACTTAACTCTTTTAGGATCAGGAATCCTAACATATGCTAGACAACCCTAAGTTTTATTACGAAGTATTTCATAAGGAGAAACCTTACTCTTAGTCTTTGGAATACGGTTCAAGACATAACAAATGGTGAGAAGGATTTCACCCCACCAATGATCAGCAGCACCAGAATTTAAGGAAATAGCAACTACTAACTCAGTAAAAGTTCTATTTTTCCTTTCAGCCTTACCATTCATTTCTGGAGAATAAGGGGCTGACCTTTCATGTATGACACCATGTGAATTATAAAATTCTACAAAAGCATCAGTATCATACTCAGTTCCACGATCACTTCGTAACCTTTTTATTTTCTTGTTGAACTGATTCTCAAACTCTGTCACAAACAACATAAACATTTCAAAAGCATCACATTTATTTTTCATCAAATAAACACAAGTATAATCAGAACAATCATCAATAAAGGTGATAAAATATCATTGTCCAGTCAACGTTCCATTAAATTCACAAATATCCAAATGAATTAAGTCTAATGGCTCTGAATTTCTAATAACTGACTTATGAGGTGTTTTTGTAATCTTAGCCTGACTACAAAAATCACATTTATCAAAGTCATTAAGAGAAATATTAAGAATAAGGCCTAAATTGCTCATATTTTTTATGAGTCTTTTGTTCACATGACAAAGTCTAGCATGCCAAACATTAATAGTAGAACACAACATATAAGCAGAATCAGAAATTTTATTAATCTCAACATTCAGTTTAAACATGCCATCAGTAGCATATCCTTTTCCTTCAAACATTCCCTTCTTAGTTATAGTAAACAAATCAGAACCTATGGTTTGTGTAAAACCAGCCTTATTAAGAAGAAAACCAGAAACTAAATTCTTTCTCATTTCCGGAGTGTGCAGTACATCTTTCAAAATGAGAATCCTGCCAGAAGTAAACTTCAACTCAACATTTCCATTACCAACAACATTAGTGGAATGGAAATCACCCAACAACACTTTCTTATCATCGGTCTTTTCAGTGTATGTTTTAAACATCCGACGATCATAGCAGACATGGCGTGTAGCACCAGTGTCTACCCACCACCCATCTGATCTGCCAGTAAGGTTTATCTCAGTAATCATAGCCACAAGAGGCTCTTCAATCATGCTTGCCTGCGCAGGTACAGGATTAGGGATGTTCCTGCACTTTCGTGCTATATGGCCTGGTTTTCCACACCTATAGCATATATTGACCAGTACCATTCTTAGGGGGTTGAGACTGTTGCTTTTCATTGTTCTTTTGAACATTCTGTTTACTTTTGTTGAAGTTATTCTTCCGGTTCTGAGGTTTGAAATTCTTACCAGCAGGCTTGAGATCTGCAGCAGATCGCTTAGGAGCATTGTTAGTGACCTGTAAGATTTCTTCCTTCTGGTCCTGTTTTCTGGATTCTTCTTCTATACGGAGCCGAGTGATCAAACTTTCTAAGGAGAATTCCTTAGTCTTGTGCCTGAGATTATTTTTGAAATCTTTCCAAGAAGGAGGAATTTTGTCAATAATAACAGCAATTTGAAATTGTTCAACAAGGGCCATACCTTCGGAAATTATCTCATGGGCAATTTTCTGAAGCTCGTGGGATTGCACTTCCACGGACTTTTCATCAGTCATCTGAAACTTCAGATACCTATTGACAGCATACTTTTTGGCACCTGCTTCTTCAGTATCATATTTCTTTTGCAGGGCATCCCACAAATCCTTAGCAGAATTTTCCATATTATAATAGTCATACAAGTTATCAGACAGACCATTAAGAATATAATTCTTGCACGTGAAATCAGTTTCATTCCAAGTTTCTATTTCACTATTCAGATAAACTGTTTCATCTTCTTCAGCATTATCAGGAATAACAGGCCTAGGAACAGTCAATACAGAATGAACTTTTTTAACAGTCAAGAAAAACTGCATTTTCTGTTTTTTCGATCCTCCCAAATCTTCAAATCTTTACGCGAACAAGTAAGTCTTCATATCACCATACCTATAACAATAATACATGTGTTTGTCCACATTTCATTCGAAATCTCTGTTTAAAGTTGACTTAACCATTAAACTTATACCTTCTTCTGGAGGCCGTGAATAATAGAAATCGATGAAAATTATTTGATCAAACATTCTTTAATAATTATATGGCAACACATGATATATTAATGGTGTTTTTCAATCTTGTATGAAATAATAATATAACACATGTAATTATATACATTGATCATGGTTCTTCTGGACCATAAGAAAACAGTCTCATGCATAAGTATCCAGTTGATATTCTTTATATTAGAAGTTTCATAAATGACACGATAATTCTCATGCAAATACAAATAGTAATTCTCGATCTCACTAATTCTCATATGCTCAAACTTCAGGTTGAGATGTCAATAGTATAGTCACATAGACCAAAAGTTTGATATAGTTACAATATGTAAAATATAAAATTTGTAGGGCTGGATATATAATACGTCGTACGTAAGTTCTTCAGGAACTATTCTTACATGATTCATAACATGCTATAAACTCGACGTCATCAATAATTTCATCACAACTATAAGCTCGTTGGAATATATATATTTCTTTGTAATTTTCCATCAAAGTTACAAATACGCCTTACTATATTTTTGAACAAATATTCACATATACCACAATTATTGTATAGAAATTAATGCAGCAATATGAGATATAGAAAATAAAATATACAATGAGTAATGCATCTAACAACTTTCGATATATGCAATGAATAATACATTAACCTAGACTCACACATGCATATGAGCATACATAGGACTCAAAATAATGCAAGACACTGTACAGTGTGGATTTAAAAATCCATATTTCATTGGAGTTCTGGTCCGTAATAAACTTATGATGATTATCATTATGTCGACATCAAAATGGACATATATTCCAGATCCCTTATTCACTAGTCCATTCTATCATGCATATGCATCATTTGTCTGTTCCATCATATACCGGTATCATCATATAATTCCTCAGGGTACAATTTTAATTTGCATGCTATTTTGACAATGATATCTGAATATATTTTTCATTGGTACCATCATAATTTTTCTTACATTATAGGCCATCTATTGTAATAATTCAGATATCTATACCACTTTTGGGGTATTTATACACTATGGTATTTATATACTAGTACACTATTAAAAGTGTTAACTGCACTATCTTGCCACATATCATATCTATATTTTGGAACCGATCATACAAACCACACTTCAGGTGTAGTGATTCATGTATAATTGGCAAGATTTTATCTCAATGTATACACATTATTTAATATACCAAAATGTATCTTCAATGCTATGCAACATGAGTCATAACTGAATACAAATCAAATCATAATGTGCAACATATCTTGATAGTATATAGACAAAAGTTGGCATATAATATTTCAAACTACCATTATAGGGATCATCAATTTTTTTTTATTTTTTTCGATTTTCCAACTTTTGTTGTTTCTTCTCCCCCTAAGTTGGTAAAATACCTCTTTTATAGGGGGCGTCTAATTCTATACCAACTTAGTATATAAATTTGCATTAAGATTCATTTCATTGGGAGGATCACAATCAAAATTTATCTCTCAAAAGATTTGTATTAAACAAGATTTATCTCTTTTGGAGAACAATTTCAATGAAGAATCATTAGTTCATTACCTTTACATATCATGTGTATTTATTATTACATTTTCCATAATATTTTCTCTTCTGGAGATCAATGTTAATGGGAAGACATGTATTGTGCAGTTGTACATTTTTCTTTCTTGTCCTATTTCTTATATGCTGACATATAATAGCCCCAATCAAAAGAATTGATATACAAGCGTAAATCACTTGCTTGTAATTCTACTAGGTGGTGATCTTCTAGATCTTTGAAGACTTAAATAGTGTATTTGGTGAGCTTATGGTCACCTGATACTTGACAATAATATATAAGTTATTCTGGTGAACTTCTGGTCACCTATTGCTCTTTCGTATATATGAAAATCAAAACCTATTAACTCTTGAAATTTTCATCAACACAAATTATTATAGCTCAATCTCAATGTTATATCATGTCATTCAATTCCTTTCATATATCTAACATTGAGATAGTGTCAGCACATTATCAAATGAAACTTCAGGTTTCCATAACGGGTATTTATTAAACCCGGATGGCCTAATTTAATTATCACATCCAATCACATCTCTGAAATTGAACTCTAGTCAGTTTTCCAACACTAGTGATCACTTTATTAAACTTACTTTATGCATGGACATGAGTATGATGTGATATTAGAACACCAACATGTGTTTCTTTATACAATTGACAAGACAATCGACTAATATTTGATCTAATATTAACTCATACTCTGTTGGAGTGCTTTTGATTATAATCTTGATACATGCTTAAGGACTTAAGGTTGTTGAACATTCTATACTCTCATGGAGTATTCTATATATATAATCATGGTACATATCCATTTTACTAAAGATAATCTTTTATAGAGATCTATGAGAATGTATCACTTCCTTAAATTTGCTATTATAAATAATTGCCCATTTGTTGTTTGAAGATTCATGTTTTTGGAACCTATTGGGTTTGACTACCACGCTTTAGGCGTGCATTAGGTTCATCAATAACTAATGTTGTCCTTTTGGAACATTAATTTTAATTGGAGCATTTACAGTTGGTATATAGGCATATAGCTAATGAAATCTATTCGTATCCATCTTTAATCTGAATCTTAAATAATTTTGTGGTCACCCTTATTTAATAAATCATTGATACTAAAGCTAATATATGTACCAAACTGACCATCAATGTATCTTATTATTCATATATATTATTATTCATGTGCAAGGATTACATAAAATAATGAAATAATTACTATCTCCCCCTAATCCTTGCATATGGGGTATGAGATAATTAATCCAACAACCTTTAAAATCCCTTGCATCTTTAAGTCATAAGTTCTTTTGGCAACAACATGTATCAAGCAAAGTAAAATTATTCTTATATAAAACACTTACTTGTTCCTTTAGCCCAATTATATTAATCTTTATATCATAAATTCTTACAGCATACATAATACATATTTCAAGTAAGTTGCTCAAAGTGTCATCTTTAAATTCTTGAACTCGTAACACTATTTCTTGCTTAAATAGATAATATATCATCATGTTTGCAATTCTAATGAACTTTTCCATTATATATGATCAATAAAACATCATGCAAACGTGTTTGCTATCTTTTCAATCATACAAATTCTCATTCACATTAGTATTGTGAACGGTGCGTGGATTATGTTAACAACATAATTTAGAAACTATTAAAATTTTCTAAGTCTTATACATAGGTTCATATTGAGGGCTTTTAACCCTTCATAAATTAAGGAACTTTCGGTCCATATGTATGAGTATTTAATGTTAAATTATTCATCATTCCTATAACCCAACTTAATGTAGGCATATAATATCATGTATAATTTAATACAATCATATATCACTCAATAATTTCAATGTTGAAATAGTGTCAGTATATGTAATAATAGTATCCACTTATAAGGTTACTAGCAACATGATAATGGTTAATGTTAAGAATATTGTATTTATATGAGATGGTTCAAACTTCAAAGTATTAACAAAAACAAATTTTTTTTTTTTAGAACTTCAAGTCTCAAACATGGAGAGGAGTATGCATTTATAAAATATTAGCTTGCAAGTTCTAGTGTCAAATTACTTGTCTTGACCATTTCGATCATGTGTACCTCATCTAATGGCCAGTCGTTACAAACAAGAATTCATTAATTATCATTTCCCATCTAATTAACGAAATAAATGATTGTCCTCAAATTCATTTTAAAACTAATATCTACATTACTGGTGATAAACAAGATGAAATGTGATAAGCATAATTTGAGGACGTAGAAAGCATCTATTATAGTCAGTTAAATATATGATATTCTGCATATATTAGCAATCTCACTCAAGAGTAATAAAATAACAAATGATATATATCATTAAATAAAGAACTAAATTATACCATAAATTTTAGCTCTTGATTATTACGTCAAATATTTTAAACAAATATTTATCTTGTTAATAAAATTATGTCGTCAATAAAAAAAAATAAGTAATCTTATCCATAAAGTACAAGCAACTAGAAAAGAATCCTTTGATTATCATACTTTTCAATGGATTACTCCAATGGGCTTGCATGAGGATCTTTTAATAGTTAAATATTCTTTCTTAAAAATAAGATATCATGTATTTGCAATATTTGCCCACTGATTTATTGAAACGTTTGATAAATGCATCCACAATTATAATTTCATGTAGAACACTTGTCATATACTAGTATATATTAAATATTAAATTGGAAAGAAAAACAAGAGATATATATGATATCTATAATAGAGAATACACAAATAACATCCTTATCAATATGCAATTCAGAAGCAACTTTAATATGTTTCAGATATAGAAATAACATGCAATTTTAATACTAGCTTAGCACATTAATCACAGAACGATATAGGATTACGGAGTATAATTTATCAATTGGAGTAGAATCTACTGACTGAGAAATAAGGCAACAAATGAACATAATCAATTTATACATAAATATCTAATCATATTGGTGAAGTACATCGTGTAGAATAATTTCATGATTAGTTGTACAAAATCGTCTAACAACAATTGAGATTTTTCAATTATAATGTGAATTATATATTGACTAATATATATATATATATATATATATATATATATATATATATATATATATATATATAGAGGAAGGCTCATGTAAGAACCCTCCTCTATATAAGAACTCAATCTTATATAAGAACCAATCTCAACCATTTATTAGTTTTGATCCAACCATCTAAAACCATCCTTTAGTAATGGCATTTCTGTAAT